CACTGAGTCAGTTCCGACTCATAGTGACCCCTCCTTGGTTTCCGAGGCAGTTCTCTACAGACATAGATTGCCCAGTCTTCCTTCTGAGAAGTGGCTGGTGGATCTGAACTGCCAGCTTTCTGGTTAGCAGTCAAATGCCTTAGAGACTACGCCACCAGAGCTCCTATATATATATGTATATGTATATATGTTATTTAAAATTTATATATATGCAGCACATAAAATGTATATATACAAATGCCCACAACTATGCCTATATATTATGCGCATGTACTCCCAAAACACTCTCCTACAGCTATATGGCATACATATCTTTTTATGTAACCATTCACCAATGTTTGGTTATTATTGTTGAAGAATCATGTATGTTACAGCATTTACTGTAGCTGTGCTTTATTCTTGTGTACCACTCAATATCTTCATTTACCTTGGTCATGTTGTGCTGACTTCCACATATTGTGAATTGCCTTTCCCTTCACCAAAATTAACACATCGACTACTATTTAGTAAGTAATTCTCCCTCTCTTCTCTTGGCAACAGTGGTAACAACCAAAGAATGTTGCTTTTTGTGTGTAAACCTATTCTTGACTTTTTATAAAAGTGGTATCATACAATGTTAGTCCTTTTGTGTTTGACTTATTTTACTGAGCATATGTCCTCCAGATTTATCCACATTATTTATATTTAGTAGCCTCATCATTATTATCATCACAAAGTATTCCATTAAATATATGTGTGTACCACATTATGTTTATCCATTCATCCACTGATAGGCTGTTAGGTTATTTCCATCTTTTTGCCGTGAATAATGCTGCAATGAACATGGGTATGCATATGTCTATTTGTATCACTGCTTGCTCTTATTTCTCTAGGATACATAGTGAGGAGTGGGATTGCTGGATCATTTGGTATTTCTATTTGTAACTTTTTGAGGATGTGCTATACCATTTTCCATAGTGGTTGTACTATCTTACAATCATACCAGTAGTGTATGAGTTCCAAATTCCCAACAACTTTACCAACATTTGTTGTTTCATTTTTATGATCAGTGCCCTTTTTGCAGGGGTAAGATTGTAGTTTTGATTTGTATCATGAATATCTCTTCATGTGTTTGTTAGCTAACTGAATGTCTTTGGTGAAGTGTCTCTTCTTGACCTTTGCCCATTTTTTGATTGGACGTTTGTCTTTCTGTTGTTAAGTAGTTTATTATTTTTAAGAATCACTTGCTCAATTCATAAAGTCCCTAAACACTAAGACATAAAAAAAAAAGCTGAAGGAAATTCATTTTCTTTACCTTTACTTTTCTTGGCCAACAAAATGAAGTAATTAATACTACTGGCAGCCCTGCTGTCACAAGGTAAATGAGCCAAAGCCATGGGCGCTCTTCAGCAGCTGACATTAACTGTTTTAGTACACCAGGCTATAAAAGAAGTAAGTAAAAAATGCAATTCAGAATTTACAACCCCAATTAGGATATACAGCCTACAAAAAGTTTAATTTTACATTTCATATTAATGAATGATAAACTTGTAAAAAGCTAAAATATGCCTTCACTCTACCACTTTATACTTTGTAAAGTCCAAGCCTTTTAATTATTAGCATGCATTACTAAGACTCTGTAGAAGATACGCTACAATGTAAATAGAAACTACTCCCAGAGAATAAGGACAATTTTCTTTTTCAGTAGGTCTCAGGATAGAACTATTCTTTATGGCTATATTATCTGGTACATTTAGAAGTGTGTAACTTTTTGATAACCTATTCTGTAGTTTTAAAGGACTTATTAATGAAATTATACCTCAAAATTATTGTACTTTATCTTTTTATATTTAAAACAAATGTCACACCTGACTTCCAGTAAGGACTCTTTTTGTCCTCACATACCATTTTGATGGTTTCTATTATTGTCCAAAGAAAGAAAATGTAAGTTATACATTTAGCTTTATATTAATTCTTTTTAAAGATACATTCTCCAAGTTGCATTGTGTCAAAAAATTTTAGCTTTATCTTTTCCATATAGTGTAAAATTTGGAAAAAAAATGGACACAATTTAATAATGTTAAATTTATTTTTTTTCTATACTCCTTTAACTAAAAAGTAGTTAAAAAGAACAAAGTATAATATTTAGATTACTGTTACCACTTAGGTTTGAGTTGGCAAGGTGACAATTATACTAAATAGTATCAGTTCTATAAACAGCAAAAAGGCTGTTTAGGTAAAACACAGGATTAAATTAAAGCTATTATAATTTAATGAATAAAATGAGATCTAGGATATATAGCTCCTTATACAGTTTATAATGAAGCTGTATCATAATATAGATAATAAGTCTAAATAGAATGTCTACATAAATTTCTTTGAAGATATTTATTTGGCATTTAGTAATTACCAAACCAAAAAAAATCTGAACTCACTGCCGTCAAGTCAATTTCAACTCATAGTGACCTCTCCTTGGGTTTCTGAGGCAGTATCGCTATGGAAGTAGATTGCCCAACCTTCCTTCCCAGGGGTGGCTAGTGGGTTTGAACTACCAGCCTTCTGGTTAGCAGTCAAATACCTACTGCACATATAATCACCTTTAAAAGGACAAGTCCTACACTACTACACAAAGTTACATTACTACCACTCTGGTCAGTGCCATACCTCATTAGCAGTTGCTACCATTGTTTTCATGCCCCAACCATCTGCAGCCCAGTGATCTGCTACTTCCTTTTCTGAACAGATAATAAAATTATCAAAGTAGATATCAGAGGTCATGGACCAAAGCTCTAAACCAAGAGCACGGAAAGAAGTAAGAAGAAATGGATGATCATCTTCAAAATAATCTGGATTAGGAATTTTTCGAGGACTCCAGATGCCCTGGAAGTAAAAACATTTGAAGATATTTTCAAATTAAACAATTTCTTTATAAATGCTACCCAGTAATAGTAACTGTTGGATAAAATTAGCAGTATTAATTGAGGATGAAAGAGAACACTTTAACTGTTATTAATTCATAGTAAGTCACTAGAAATAAAATGTTATTTCTTCTTATTCTATACACAACATCCCCTATGAATAATTTTTGTTGTTGTTGTTAGGTATTGTTGAGTTGGCTCCAACTCATAGCGACTCTATGTACAACAGAATGAAACACTTCCTGGTCTTGTGCCAGCCTCACAATCCCTTCTATACCTGAGCCCATCATTGCAGCCACTGTGTCAATATTGCCTTGGAATTCAGCAGAAAAGTCAAAGTAACACATGAAGAAAACAGTGGAGCCACTCTTTTTAACATATACCTATGGCAAGCATCACTAATCACTTATGGCTCCACCTTAGAACAACTATTCAACCTAACAATTTAATTTTATCTTAAGTTATTATGCTTTAAATTCAAATCAAATAGATTTGCCAATTTGATTACTCACTGACTAGCTCCATCCTCAAATATATCTACTCTGTACCACATACTAGGGCACATGCTGGGGATACAGTGATCAAGAATGCATAGAATACAAAGTTGGAAAATATCAATGAATAAGAAAGATAAAATTAATAGACAGCATAGGAACTTTTAATATAAAATGCCAGGTATTCTCAAAAGATGTTATTTGTTAAAAATCCATATTTTAATAATAGCAGAAAATAAACATATTAAGTAGTATGGGCATTAATTACTAAAATGCACAAAGTGAGTCCTCCTGATCAGAACTCAAAATACAACTTTTTTGCAACCAAAATCCACTGCCATCAAATTGATTGTGACTCATAACAACCCCTACAGGGTTTCCGAGGTAGTTAATCTTTACGGAAGTAAGACTGCTCAGTCTTGCTTCTATGTATGGATTTGAACCGCTAACCTTCTGGTTAGCAGTCAGATGCCTGAGGTACTGTGCTACCAGAGCTCCTTACTTTCTTCCAAAGTAAGCAATAATTGGTTATTAAGGAAGAAGACAATGTGAAGTGATTTATCTTCAAGTTTTTAAGCTTATTCCCCCAGAAAATTAAAGAATGCTTTACTTCTTAAATATAAATTCACTGAGGTGCATTTTCTCTGACTTTTTAAGAGCTAGGTCACACTACTGAAAATCCAAAGCTTAACTTCTAAAAGTTAACATAATCTTATCAATAATGAGATATATAAAAGATCACAAGTTTTTAAATTTTAATATGGCATTGGATTAAGTGGTTATTACCTGGTAATTAGGATTATCAATCATTGGAGGTCTCCACACTCCTTTGAATTTGGGGTTATCTATCACGGGAGGTTTCCATTCACCACATCCAACACGACATACTGGATTAGGAATTTGAGGTGCTTCCCATTCTCCATCCATGTCTTCATTCCTTAGGATATGAGAACAAAGCAAAATTGTGACCTGGAATCTCTTTTGTCAGTCATGTAAGCTAGTAACAAAAAAGCAAGTAAGAAATGTTTGAAACTGGCATTTTAAAAATGAACAATGCTTACCAATCGTCAGGTTTTTCAGCAGTTGGATCTGGGATAAACTTTGGTTCATCATCAAGCCACCCATCAGGTTTAACAACACTTGAATCTTCTATTTGGGCAGGTTCACTTTCATCCCTGTAAAGACAGTATTTTATGTCAATTATTTGAAAAACATGTTACAAAATTCAGAAGGTACCACAAAGGTATTTCCTACTCCTCTGCTTTTCTGCTATCTACATCCCCCCTTTCTCCATTCACCTAAATCTTCTAACGCAAATCAATTTTTTGTATACAATTTTATTTTAGATTCCATTTTTTTTTCCCTCTTCTGTTGGCTTACTAGCTTCTCCTCTTTGATTTGCGTCAGTGTTTTCTCTGGGTTTATAATACACATGTTTAATTTATTTTAGTCTATTCTCAAATAGTATCAGTTGGAATTGACTTAACATCAGTGGGTTTGGTTTTTTTGGTTTAGTTTCCTATTGCATTTGAAATGTAAAACAAAGTTTCAAAGATTGCAAGTATATAAAAAACAAAATGGAAACACTTGTATAAAACTATAGAGAATATCTTTTAAGACATTGGGTAGAAGGGATTTCTTAAATGAGACATAAACCATGAAATAAAAAGACTGATGAGTCAGAGTACTTTAAAACAGAAACTACTGTTCAACAAAAATACCAAGAGTTAAAATAAAAGTAATATATTAGAAGCAGATATGTGTAAGATAAATGATTGCTTCCAAGAATTTATTATAAATTTATAAATAAAAAGCCAAAAGTTCCAATAGAAAAATGGATACATAAAGGGAAATGCAATTCATGGATGAAACCTCAATAGCTAATGATCATATCAAATGTCACTAATAAGAAAAATTAAAATAAAAATGAAATATCAGTTCATCATCATGAAACAATTTCAATCCAACAATACTGCTGGTGTAATAATGTAAATTACAATAATTTTGGAGAACCATATGGCAATATCTGGAAAAGCTAAAGATGTGTATATCCTATGAACCAGAAATTACATTTTCAGGTACAGACATAGAGAAATTCTTACACACATATATGATGATATTCAAGCACTGCTGATATTAGTGAAAAGTTGGAAATAACCTAAATGTATACCACAAGAGAATGGATAATTTTGCTATAATCACACAATGGAATTTCCCATAAGCAATTTACACATTAACTCTAAATATATCAATATAAGCTGAAAAATGTTTCAGAATTTGTATACTATGAAGTCACGCATATAAATTTTAAAAGAATACATGTTATGGAAAGACATGCAAAATAAAACATGTAAACAGACTTGAAAGATGACACTAAATTCACGTTAGTGGCAGTCTCTGGGGAAAAAGGATATGAAGAATAGGTGATATCATAAAGGGAATTTAAGACTGTATTTGCATGTTTTATTAAAAAGATTCCTAAGTAAATCAGACAATATATTAACAATAAATAATTTGCATGTGGTGAGGTACTTTTCTGTACTTTCAAATTCCCCACCTGCTGAATAAATATAATAAAGAGATGCTGAAAGGGAAAAAAGGAAGGGGGGGGGCCAGGAGAAGAGAGAATGAAAGAGATAAAAATTATTCAACCACTCAGCCAGTACAAATGTATTTTTTGAAAATACTTGAGTCAGGGAGAAAAGGACAAATTTTACCAGAATAGTTAATTATAAAGGAATGAAAAGTCCAAAATATAAAAATCTGTCAGGTGTTGTTAAAACTATTTGGAGAAAATCAGTTCAGTTAATAAGGAAAAAAAAGAAAGACCAAATATTTGAAGTTTGAAAGATCCTAAAAAGGAAAATATTAGAGGGAAAACAGGAAAAGGAAAATCATCAAGGTTGAACAAATAAACATAATTTAAAATGTAGGTGTAACAGAAATGTTTTAAAGAAAGTTGATACTTTGGGAAACTATTAAACCAACTGATAAAGCACTGTCTGTCAAACAAAAGAAAGAAAAAGTGAATAATAAAAATCAGAAATGCTAGCTGTAACAAAAAATGAGAGAAGATCAAGACAGAAAGACACAGGAATACAATGGTGGTGGAATTCTATGGAAAGAGGGTATTAAAATTGGCTACTGGTAGCTGATCAATTTTTCTGGGGAACACGTATGACCAGAGTTATCAATTCCTTGAATCAGTAATCTGTAATTTTTCTTTTGAGGAAAATACTCATAATCCCATAAAAAGGAAACAATGTAACCATCTAGTGAAAAAAAGTCAATTTGTTATGAGAAAATTCTCTATATTTTTATAAGATGTTGAGGATAGGGCCTACTTAAGGCCAAGTGATATTAACTGAAAAAAGATCAAAACTACATAAAATATATACACACATAGTGAGAAGAGGAGCTCTGGTGGCATAGTGCCTAAGGCGTTTTTGACTGCCAACCAGAAGGCTGATGGTTCAAACCCACCAGCCACTCCTTGGAATGGAGATTGGGCAATCTACTTCCATAGCGATACTACCTCAGAAACCCAAGAAGAGGTTTCTATGAGTCAGATGCGACTAGATAGCAGTGAGTTTAGTTTTATGGTGATAAGGATCAAACCAGAAATTAAAATGTTCATGTTTTAGATTCATGGACTTTTTCTTAATAGTACTGAAACCATCAAAAAACCCCACATATTGATAAAGATAATAAACTTAAAATATTAATCAAAATTAGAATAGATAATTAAAAGGTAGGAAACCAAAAGATCCATTTTACATAAGCACTTCACCCAAAACAGTGGAAAAAAGTAGTTTTACTCTAATAGAATAAGTTCTATTGGTTGTAAAGTTCACTGATATGTTGTGTCTCATTTCTTAACTATGACAAAGAATTTTGTTTTAAACTGGATTTTTTGCTTACCAATCATCTGGTTTGACGGCAGAAGGATCGGGGATTTTTGCCCTTTCATCCCAATCATCAGGTTTTCTGTCAGTGGGATCTTCAATTTCTTTGGGAGGATTGATAGGAGGAACCACATCCTCTAGAAGGCTTCCTTTGTTTACAACTATTTGATCAATTAACACTTCAAACGTGTCATCTGGATTCAACACTGTAGATCAATTTAAATATATTACACATAACATTTTGAGAGACATTTTAAAGATAATCTTCTAAAAAATAACACTACCCTGAACATCATGGGTAAAAACTTTTCCCAATCAGAAGTACAGAAAATACAAACAATGTATAAATAGAAATATGCTTAAGTCACTAAATAGAATCTAAAATCTAAAATGAAAGACATTATTTTGTTCTCAATTGTATTCGTTATAATAAATGTCACATTGCTTCTTATATTTAAAAATTCCCAATAGCTAACTAGCTCCATTTGGGACTCACATCACCCAGTCAGCTTTACTCTACTATAGAATACAATACAATCCTCTTCAGCATTTTAATATATATTTTTTAAACAATCTTAAACTTACAGAAAGGTTACAAAGAAGTTAATTTTCTCCTGAACCACTCACTGGAGAATAAGTTACCAAGCTCATGCACATCAGCCCTAAATACTTTAATGCATATTTATTTCCAACAAATAACCACATTCTCCTACATGCCAATTCAGCCACCAAAATCAGGAAATTAACATTGATACATTACTGCCACCTAAACTCAGAACCTACTCAACTTTTGCCAATTAATCAAATGATGTCTTTTATAAGAAAGGATTAGGTTGATAGTCAGGTATTACATTTAAACTCTACTTTATCAGAACATAATTTATAAAGTGACCATATTACCAACAGTAGAAGTCCACTCTTAACAAACTCTCTGAAAATGAATTATGCCTTATTCTGAACGCCACTCTTAGTCATCATCATTTACTGATATTTCATTAGTGGCAATACAAAATATTCCGACTCCCTTCACTTCAAAATAGTCACTCTTCAGATGCTCAATGAAAACTTGCAAATTACAATCTCACTAGGGTTAATCCCATCACAAAAGCACAGGAATCCCCACAGCTTTGTGTATGTAGAGGTGTAATGTGAACTGTTGGGTGTTGTATATGACTAAGTGCTCAGCTGCTAATCAAAACATTAGAGGTTAGAGTCCACCCAGAGGCAACGCATAAGAAAGTTTTGGAAAGCTACCAAATTAGCCACGGAAAACCATATGGAGCAAAGTTCTACTCTGACACACGTGAGATTCCCATGAGTTGGAATGTACTCAATGGCAAGTGTTTTTTTTTTTTTTTTAAATGAGGCAAAAGTACAAATAAATTTAAATATTTTTGATACAAGGAAGAAACTCTTGACTTTAATGATATGTACTATGAAAGGCAGTGATGAAATCATCATTTCCTAGAGATCTTTAAAGGTCACTGGCATTTAAAAATCAACAGCTCACATACTTAGTGTAATATAAAATACCTTAAGGATGACTTAAAATATCCAAGTTTACACTTAATTAGCCTGTTTGTTTCCAGGTAAATTTTATCCCTCTAACAGTCTCCAAGTCAAAATTTCATAAAGGACTCCCTTATCTTTTGTAATGCCAAAATAAAAGACACTTCCACCTTTTAAATATAGGAGGGCACTGGGTAACATTTAGATCTTTGAAAAGAATGAGAAAGATGAAAAGAGCTTCCTAACATTTGCTTTCAATAAGCTAAGGAAGTAGGAGCTGTCAACAAATGTCAGGGTCATTTTGACTTCACAATTTAAGTGAGCTACCACTTTTTTTTTTTTAATTTTTCATTGTACTTTGGGTGAAAGTTTACAGAGCAAATTAGTTTTCCATTCAACAACTGTATACACATTTTGTTTTGGTGACATTGGTTACAATCCCCTCAATGTAACAGCATTCTTCCCACTTCCTCCCTGGGTTCCCTCATTTCATCCTTCTTTCCTCCCCTTCCTGCCTTCTGATCTTTGTTATTGGGCAAATGTTGCCTTTTTGGTCTCATATGCTTGAGTGTACTGAACAGCACATTCCTCCCTGGTGTTATCATTCACCTTATAGGCCTGTCTATTGTTTGGCTGAAAGTTGATCCTTGGGGCTGGGTTCAATTACAGGTTTAAGGGATGTCTAAGGGCCAATCTCTGGGGTTCCACCTGTCTTTATCATCCTAGTAAGCCTTTTTTTTTTTTTTTTCTGATTCTGAATTTTTTAATACATTTTTTTCTTCCTCTCTGACCAGGACCTTTTATTGTGATCCTGATGAGAGTAATGCAAAGTGAGTTACCATTTTCTGAAGAAATAGCTCTAAGTATTTCAGTCACATCACCACCATCAAATTAAATCAAAACCAAACACACTTTACTCCTTACTTATCAGTGATCTCATTATCTGATTTCACATTTATTACAATAGTTAAAAAAAAACAAAAACAAAACTACTATCTGACTATTTTGCACATTAATGACATACTTCTGGCAGGGACAAACACCGAGGTGTGAGGTGTTTGTGATGGTTAAGATTATGTGTCAACTTGGTTGGGCCATGATTCTCAGTGAGTTGGCAGTTATGTAATGATGTAATCTGGCAGTTACATAATGATGTAGTCATCCTCCATTTTGTGATCTAATGTGGTTACCCTCCATTTTCACACAATGCTGATTTTCAAATAATTACCTGGTCTTTGGAACCTAACCATGTTGGTAAGTGAGGTGTAAGTATAATGCAGTTTATAGAGAAACCCAAATAATGCAAATGCCTACTAATTATTCTCTCCTTTTTCTTTTTCTCCACTATTTCTTCTACCACAGCTAAGATTATAAGCCTGCATTACTACAACCAAGGAAAAATAGTCAAGACTGAAGCAGAGCTAAGAATGAGACCTTAAATGTAAAAATATTACTAGATCTTTCTTAATTAAAAAATGGCCTCAACAAAATTCAAAATCATTTGGAGGCAAAAAAAAAAAAAAAAAGGTGGGGACCAGGTTTGCTGGTCCAATAGAGCCTGGTGGAACCACTGAGACTATGGCCCCTAGCTGCCCTTCAGGTCTGGAATTGAACCCACAACTGTGGTTTCCAGCCAAACAAAGTACAGGCATGTGAGTTAAACATCTACCTCAAGTAGACACACGCCCTGGAGAGAACAATCATGGGAGAAGGGAAGGGCTGCTTATGCACAGGGAGACAGCTTAGGGGGCAAGAGAGTATGAAGGGATGGACACTGGGAAGAGGTAACTATGGGGAGAAGTGGGAGGGGAGCTGTTGCATTGTGGTAAACTGTGGTCAATGACATGCGACAAAGTATATGTGAACTGCTGTGTGGAAAGTGAATTTGCTCTGTAAATCTTCACCCAAATCAAAATAAAATTAAATTAAATTAACTCACAAAAAAAATGGCCTCAGTTTCTCAAGACAAATCTTGAAAGCTTTCTGAATAACATTTGTACCTGAAATTGATTTTTTAAAAACTACAGTGAAAACAATAATGTAGATTACAAACATGTGTCTGTGAAAAAAATCTTTAACCAAAAATGTTCCATTTAGAAAAGCATATTAAATATTTTAACTGAACCTATAATAAAAGACATTATATTATAAAGTCTTTTAAGTTCTATAAAGATCTTAAAACAGGTACACAATAATGTTAAAAATATAATAATATTTCAGAAAGTTTAATAAAGAAAAAGTCATTCAACAAACCTAGTACAATGATCAGCTTTTGTGTATAAGAAGAAGAAATGAGAGTGTTTAAGAGTTAATCTTAAATTTCCAATTCACTTCCACTAGTTACTGTTGTTTCCTAAACCAAAATGGAGAAACTACCACTCACCTCAAGTAATGGTTCTAAAGAAAGTGCCTAGTACAGAGCATGGCACTTATTAGGTGTTTAATGAAAATTAGATCTTTTTTCGTAGTTTTTTCTATTTGCTTGGATAATTTTCCCAGTGGGCATTATGATGTGCTTAGCATATGAATCTTGCTTTCTAACTCCATTTTAATATTATAAGCATTTCTCCCTGTTGCTAAACATTTTAAGAGTTAGCACTTTAAATGTAGTAGATAGACAACTCTCCTATTATAACATTTAGGTTGCTTCAAATTTTCAGTATATCTTCACACAGGTTATTTTCTTTCTTCTGGATTATTTCTTGAAAGTGGGATTGTGGTTTCAAAGGACATAAAACTTTTGTGGCGTTTGATACGTACTACCAAAATGCTTTTGACTAGGGTTTGGTTTTTTTTTTTTTGAAGTTTGTACAAAGTCAAATTATATCGAAATTCTTTCTTTTATTTTGGCTATAATTTTTCATTATTTCTACTTTTTACTTTACATTCCCCAAAATGTACAGTATTGCTTCAATTATTTCAAAAAAGGATTTTGGCATATTGTTGACATTGAAAACAAGATAAAACTGAGCACTGTCTTAGCAGACAAAATGAGTATTTTGTAACTGTAGCCTTCAGAAAGAAAATCAGATAACCATAGTCTTGGATGGAGCTGAGACATGAGTAAGGAAGTTGACGGAATCATTTCAAAGTGTCCTGCTAGATTCTGACACACTATGATATTAAGAAATCATAGACCAAAGCTACATAAACTTATGTACTTGAGAATGGGAGAAACCACCTCATATAACATCCCAATGTCAATGCAAACTCTCATATACTCAAGTAAAGAATGTTAACATATGGTTACTCACTGCTTTTCCTTTCAAAATTTAAATATGTGCCACAATCATAAGGTGGGAAACTAACAACAGTCATAACTGCCTATAGAGGAAAGCCTACATTTTTTAGGTTGGCATTCAGGGCCTTTTCCTCCTTAATCTTATTTTCTAGTTTTCCCTCTTTATATCATACTAATTTCACAGAACATATAAGTGTCCTTTTCCACTCCTTTCCAACTTTAGTCTGTACTTCAAGAGAGGTTCAAATATAGTCTCCTTTACTACATTTCTCTGAGTTTCCAGGCTGGAAGTAATATTGCTTTTGAACTCCTACTGTACTTCAAGTGTACCGCTCATTATGGCACCTTACTTTCTACTTTGTGGTATAATCATTTATGTATATCTTATTTTCACAAAAAGATAGGCTGCCTAATTGTAAGATCCATATTTATTTCTCCCAAAACACTTGCCATGAATATATTAGTGGTCACCAAATATTTTTAAATTAATTAATGAATTGCAAGGATATACCAAGGGTATAAAGATGTGTCTTCTTGTCTGTAAAGAACTTTTTAAGATCTACATCTGGAGGTTTGGCATGTTTCTCTTCAAAAACTCCAGTTTTAGGATGTTTATGTCTGAAGATAAAATGAAGTTTATAATCTTCTCCACATTTATCTGGTCCAAACATGATGGTATAGGAAGTTTTATCGTAAAAGTTTTCCTTTAAAGAGAAATGAGCATTGAAATTAGTCAAGAAATAGAGCATTTAATGAATTCTCTAGTCTATAAAAATTGTGTACAGCTTACAAAACATATTTTCAGTGGTAATTTACCCAAGATTTCATATGACATAAGTAACAATCAAAGATGTGGGAAAATGACAGTTGCATCTGAAAACAATGCCAGATGTTTTAAAAAAGCACATTACTTTGGTGTTAGCTTTTATTGTCATTGTATTTTTTGATGATCAACACCTAATAACATTTAAAACAAGACTTTCAACATATACTACAAATGGCATCTCCTTTACCTGTTCCTAATACTACCTGAGAGCTCTGGTAGCATAGTGGCTAAGGCACCTGACTGCTAACCAGAAGGCTGGCTGTTCAAACCCACCAGCCACTCCTCGGAAGGAAGATAGGGCAATCTACTTCCATAGTGATATTGCCTTGGCAACCCAAGAAGGGGTTGCTATGAGTCGGGTCCGACTCGACAGCACAAAACAACAAACAACAACAATAGTACCTGAAGCCTTTAATATATATTTCATAGCCCATTCACAGACAGACACTCTGACAAATATCTCACTGATGTCTTAATTATCTTATTTCTGTTATGCAGAAACCTTCACAAAGCCTTCTGTAAAGAGATAGAAATGTCCCTGATTTTAAATGGTCCTAATACAACCTCCTAGACTTATAAAGCTACTTCATGAAATGGTTTTTAAATTAGTTATTTTCTGAATCTCTTGTAGATTGCTAATCTCTAAAGTGTACCTTCCTTTTTAATTTGGTTCTTAGGTAATTTCCTTTCTCTGCTTTTTTTCTTATACGAACAAACATATGGTTCTTATTTTGAAAAGAAAATAATTCCAACCTAATTTATAAACATCATGTTATTTTTCATTTATAGACATGGTGCCAAAGGGGCAAAGAGAAGGCATCTTGTGACCTCTTTTAATGAGGACAGAATCATCAGCAGCAGCCCAAGGCCTGTTCCTATGAGCCCAGACATGCTGCCACCCTCCAGCCCTCTTACCAACCTTGATACCAACTGTCCCTCTCTTGGCACCTACCACTTCACCATTGTGTTCAATAATTTGCTGCAATGGCCACAGAGAACTCACAGATCATGGGGTTTATGAGGGAAGCACCAGCCACAATTCAAGTTCAGGAACACACTCAGGATCCAGTTCTTTGGTCAGAAAAGCTTCCCCTCTGCTGTGCCCTTAGACACATCTCTCTGGCCCTTGGCCTCTTGGCCTGGCCTCTGCCTCTGTGGTCCAGGTAAGCCTGATACTCTGTCTCATGCCTCTTGGTTCCACTGCTGCCATCTCTCAGCTGGGGGTCTCTCACAGCTACACATCTCTTTCAGCAGTGTATCTCTCTTAGTAGCCGTTCATCTCTCTCAACAGCATGTCTCTCTTAGCCAGCAGTCAGAGACATTTTTTTTTTTCTGCCTCCAGGAGGGCTCACTTTAAGCTTGGCAGAATGGCAAAACTAACCAATCCCAACATCAGAATTCTAAACACCTGAGAGCAAGCAAACTTTCCCAGAAGATGACTTCATGCTGCCCCAGGTGGATGACTTTAACAAGCAGCTACTCAGTTGCTCATGGCAAAGTGGGAGTTACAAAGACTATGGCTAGAAAAGTCACAGTAATTTACTATACTGCACATAGTAAATATATTTTTTTAAAATGGTGAACTTTTTTATATTGCTAAAGATTACAAACTTGATGCCATCAAGTGACTCAACTTTAAATAACTATATAAAGTGATATTAGCAACATTCTCAACGTCTTTTCAATTTCAGATGAAAATAAAATTTTCTATTTATCAATTTTTCTTTAAAGTTACTTATTAACTTTAAAAAGGTTTTCTTAAATATTAAAATATCATACCAGATTCAAATCATCGGTGTCTGCTAGGAGTTTAATGTATGCACCTCCACAATCAATACCATCTTGAAAATTTACTTCATATCTAAAGTGAAGGGGAAAAAGAATCATACTTCTGGTAAGTAAAAATTATTTATTGTTCTTTAAAATCTAATGTATTATTCTCAATTCATTTAAACAAATATTCTACATTACAAATAAGCTGATATAATGTTTATTCACAATTTATAGGAAATAACCAGAAATACTCTACTACTGTAATACACTGTACATCATCAAAATAACAATAATCAACTATAAAATAGTCAACCAACTTTTTGAGACAGCTTTTTCCTTAAAAACTACTGAATTAAGAATAAAATACTTTGACTAAAATTACAATAAAAATCAAAAACCAAACCCATTGCCATTGAGTCGATTCTGACTCTTAGTGACCCTCTTTGGGTTTCCGAGTCAGTAAATATTTTTGGAAGTAGATTGCCTAATCTTTTTTCCATGGAGTGGCTGATGGGTTTCAACTGCTAGCCTTCTGGTTAGCAGTCAAATGCCCTAGGCACTGCACCAAATAGGAAATTTAAATCCAGGTAAGGAAAGCACTATACAAAATATTCTTTACAACCTAAACAAACAAAGGAAGCTCATAAGGACCACAACTACAGCAACAGACTTCTAAGAAACTGCTACAGACCTTAAATATCCAGTTCACTATCAATTTGCTTTTAGTTCAACTACACCCAAACCATGTTAAATAAGCTGCACATCCAATTAAATACTCCAGCAACAATATTTCAGAATCTCAATCAATAACCTGGAGTGTTTCATAGACCTTAACTGTCAGGATGTAAAGAAAATATGGTATAATAGATAAAAAAGTGAGATGAGAGTCTTCTCATGGTTTTACCATATGGTGTAATTCTCAGTAAAAATTTCTTTTAAAAAAGTAAGTCTTGCTTCAGCAATGAAGCACAGACTCACTGAACAGCATATAGATGAAATTTTTGATAATTTGATGAATTATTTGCAACAAAAGCCAACATAAAAATGTCTGAAAAGTGAAAAGTGAAGGTTTGTGAGTTGTTAAATGAATTAAAGAGATGAAAACTAGAGAAGCAATAGGAAGTAGTAATGACATTAATAAAGGTTTGTAGTTTAAAATGTTTCTGAAGAAACTTTAGAGACAAAAAAGTGAAAAGAGAGTTCCGCTAAGATGGTGGAACAGGAAGACAAACTACACAGATCCACTTCAACAAAGAAAAGAGGAACCAAATAACACAGATACAAAAGGTAATCCTGGAGCCCTGAGCTCTGAAAGGAAGGACACAGAAGTAGATTAAACTCCAAGTAGTAGAAGAACCTGCATGAAAACCCCAAAAAAGGAGACATACAGAGCTGGAGACTGTCAGTGACCCTGAGAGCACAGACAGCTTGGATATTGCCAAGTGGTGTTAGGACCTAAGAATTAACCTAAAAATTGGACCTGCTTGCCAGTGGCTGCATGGAGGACTGCACTGGTGGCTGGTGAATAAAACAGGAAGCAGTGAAGAGGCAGACAGGCTGAGCTATGGACTTTTAGCTGTCCAGAGCGCACAGCCTTTTTGAATGTTTACAAGCAGTCTGACCATTTTGGATATTTAAACTGACAGTGTTCTCTCAGATTCCAGGGACTAAGCATAGGGTCCACC